TCCAATGGAAATCTTATGGAGATGAGGAGTGGGGGAGATTTTCCGTAGTCCAAATCAGGTGCAAGCATCCTAAGGTGACAAAGCTGTTCCTCCAGAGATAGAGTACAATTAGTGAGCGTTGTCACCTTAGGACAAATGTATTGCTGGTAGGATCCCCAGGTGAAAATAAAGAAGACAAATGCAAACACTACATTTCAGAACTTGTAAGCTACAATACATTACATTGTTTGTTCTTGGGTTTAGATACACTTTTAGAGGTAAAAGCACAAATGAACCTTAAAAAAAATTTTTTAATACATTTTGACTGCTAGCCAAGCAATAGTGTGGTGAGGGGTTAAAATCTCTATCATGCTTTGTTGGTGTCTTTTTGTTCCCTCTAATTTGAGAACACAAAAACTAGTTTTGAATGGACTTCACAGGTACCATATGGAGACTTCAAATTAAAATTGCATACATTTTATTGATATCAGTATACAAAACATTGGACTGGTAGACATTGGGTTGACGGTTGTTCCTTGTTTTTTGAGCTTATACTACAAAGCTAGTGTAACGTCCTCCAGGTTAGTTATGTTTACATTAGATAGAGGCCGAGTAGCAGCTTGGGGATGAGTCAGCCTGGGGAGACATGTAGTGAGATAACCTCAGGACAGGTTGGGAGGCTCTAACAGGTCAGGGCTTCTGATGCCCTCCCACTTCTCCAGAAGCCTTAGAGCTTTCTGGAGGAGGGGAGGAATCCCATATCTGCATGTTTGAGGGACCCTGGCCAATCCCCTGGCAGGAGTCTGGTCATGGTGTTCAGGGCAACCCTCAATAGTGGCAGAGCCTGTGTCGTTGAGTGTCAGGTGGAAGATGGAGTGAGGAGCTGAAGTTTGGAGCCTGGGAGGGGGCCCACCTACGGTGGGAGAAGAGGATCTCCACTGTGCTGCAGTCTCCAAGGGAGGACATTCTGAATACCTTCAGGCAGAGATGAAAAGGAGGACTTGTCTGGGGTCTGAGGAGGTACACCAGAGAGCTGGAATGCTCTTAAAGAAGAGACTATTTTTGTCCACATCTGTACATAGTTTTTAAGGAGTTTATCCTCAAGTTTCTACAGTTCCTTGGGCATCCCGTACACCCCTCAACCCCATCCAAGTTCTAAAACACTTAGTAAACAGTCCTTGAGCTTGGTTTTGTGATTTTATTGACTCCAGTGTGCAAAGTGTGGAAGAAAATGCTTGTTGCCTGGCTGTGCAGAGCTTTAGGGGACCAAAGGCTCAGTGACTCCTAAGGGGATAGTGCTACATTAGCATAGTTGTCTGGGACTTCTTCCTCCTGGATGGTCTTTATCCATGTGAGGGTGAGTTGGCTAGTATTTTTAACTATTGGTTCATGCGCTCCTGTGACCCAGGATGTCACAGATCCAGGCTCTGCAGGAATCCCAACAATTATGTTGGGATCCTTCCAGATTTCTGACCAGCAGCTAGGTCATCCTCTGTTGACAGCCAGCTGCTCCTGACCCCTCCATAGTCCAGCACTCCAGTGAGAGCTAGAGGGCAAGAGCAGAGAGCCGGTGAATGAAAGTCACTGCATAGAGCAGATTGTGAACTGAGTGATCAGGGGTCATGTGGTTATTCAGTTCTTGGTCTTAGAATCGACAGGGGACATCTGCAGAATTGGACTGATACTGCAGCCATAGTTAGTATGTATGTTCCTTTTTTCTTTTTTAATCCCACACTTCTTTTAATATCTAGTTGACCTCAACTAGGAAGAGTTCTCCTTCATTTATAAAAGGGACATGATTTAGTATCTGGTGGATGGATTTGTCTTTTTCCCTGTTCTATCTGTCCCCTCTTTGTCCCTGTGCCAGCCTGAGAAGTGGCTTTTTGATTGAGCTGGTTTCAATATATTTGTAGCACCCTCCTAGTTAGGCACTAGAAGTGAGGCAAATTTAGTTTCTTGGCTCTGCTGTTAGAAGTGGAAACATAATTGTGTTTTGCTTACTCTGAGTTCCGCAGTTGCAGGCTAGCCCATCTCCTGACTTTCCAGATATACCTGGAAACATAGTGAGAGGAGAGGGTAGAGTCTGAGCTGGCCCTGTATGCAGGCTCAGCCAATCCCTGGTCAAGAAGAGTGACCAGCAGGGGGCTGAGAGTGGTATATAAGTATGATTGCAGAGAGTAGCAGGGTCCTTCACCTGCTAGAGATTGACTCAGCCTGGAAGTGGTGGCAAACCTTCCTAGGCTTTGAAGAAGCCCAAAGAAGTTTCAGATGTCTCTAGCTCATTAAGGAGCAGAAAAGTCATCCCCTAAAGTCGCAGAAACACCCGAGCAACACCTAGAGAGGATCTTTCTGGGATACCTAAACCCCTGAGAATCCTGCATGATTGTTGCTTGTGCGCCCCTTTCCGGATAGAGGGACTGTTCCAGACCTAGCTACCAGGGTTGCGCCTTAGAGGAAGCCTCTTTGTGCTAAAAGCGATTGCTGCCCTTTTTATGGAGGAAACTCTGCTTCGTGTCATTCATCTGTTTCAAGATAGTGTCCTCAGACAATTTCTCTAGTTCCAGGCATCCCAAAGCTTTTTCCAGTCCCTAACCCCCCCTGATCATTGTCTGAGGATTGAATGAAATTTAACACCCCTAGACAAAAGTACTTTGTGCCTGGCTGCTTGTACCATTAAAGTAATATTAACCTACAACAGTAAAGTTAGTCTGTATATACAATAAAGCATGCTTGTTAAACTCACTGTGGAACCTAAGGGGATAATCCTCCGCATTGTGTAAAAAGGCTGTTTGATCCTGTCTTCTCTGATCCTCCCCTTCTACTATCCCCAATCCATCTGCTGATAGTACAGAGCTCTAGGAGTTACTCTGCACATGATCAGTTTGGTGTGTATGGGAGTCTTTTTGTGATCAGCACAGAGCCAATCAGCACTGTCCAGACAGAGGTCAGGAGTTATGCAGCCTCATAGGACAATCAGAGGAGAATAAAAATTCCTCCTACACACTTTAGCCAGTTCTCAGCTGGACACTGATAGAAGTCACAAGACTGTTCTAACTGCTGATGTGAAAAGGTATTTAGCAGTTTATATTTACTAAAATAATTGCATTTCCATGGACTGTGGGAGAGGATGGACGCTGGCATTCTTTATGTAAGCTATGAATAAATTTGTGAAATCCTTTTATATACTTCATTGAGTCTTGTATTATCTGCCCCTTTTGAGGAACGGGGAAGGTGGATTGGAAGCAATAAGAAGCTTCCGAAGAGAGGGAAACTTTGGACTGCCTGGAAGGAGTTTTGCTTGGTCTGCATTGGAAGAGGGTAATAGTATTTATATCACAAGAGAGATGGCACTATCTCATTTGGATGCATGTGATTTTTCATGAGAGGGTAATGGTATTTAGTTTATCTGGATGGTAACACTGGTGTGGAGTGTTGCACTTTATCACATTTTGGAGTGTTGATTTATCACGGGTGGGAGTCCAGGAGGAATCACTTTTAGTTTTCACGAGTGTTTTTTTGTTGTAATGATAATACACTATATTGAGTTTATATTTTTTGAGGTATCCTGATTTGAGGTTCCTGGATTGAAATTCAGCAAAGTGGAGTAGTCCTCAACGTTTGAAAAAGCACTATTTATTGAAAAGCACTTTATTTTGGACTTATATGTGGACATTTGCTGTTATATGTTTTGCACTGGTGGGGGTTGTAAAGTTCGTGTTTGAGGGAGTATCGAAAAAGATATTATTTATATTTTGTTTACACTTTCAAGGGTGAGAGTGATGCTTTTCGTAGGGATATTTAGAGTTTATATTATATCTATGTCTTTAATGACCTATTCTAACGTCGCTCTGGTCCGATCACATGATCTCTCTAGAGCTGGCTTCAGTGAAGAGGAGAGATCACGGACAATGGCTGCAGAGCCTGCGCCATGACGTCGCTTATAAGCTTACTGTGGGCATCCGTTGTCAGCTGTCTCTCTTCTAAACTGGATCCGGTGCTGGAAGCTGATTGTGTTATCGGACAGGAGCAACTTCGGAATCGTTAAGTCAAGACATCTTTCCTTTTACAAGGTAGATAGAAAAGGCTTTGAATGGGGGTGGGTAGTAGATGTAAAGGATAAGTTCACCTTCGAGAACATGTTACATGTTCCACCCATTTCTAGGGTGGAACATGTAATGTTCCCAATGCTGCATCGGCTGTCCGATCCTCCCCTCCCTGCGACAGCAGTACGGGGATAAGTTCCCGTACGGCAAGCAGATATACTGACAGGGGACCTGCATGGCACCAGGGATCTGCTGATCACTGGTGCAATGCTTTCCAGGCTCCTGCAACAAAAAATAATAAATGCACTTTTTTTAATATGCAAAAAAATGTGCACTTATTATTTTTTGTCAAAAGGTGAACTTCTCCTTTAAACTTGCCTTATACTTTTACCTGGCCTCCATTCTATTATTTGTCCCATCTATATTTTATGCTGTTGGCTATTGCCACTGGGACTGAAAGTGGAAGAAAATCTTATATATAAAGAGTCTTTCATATTTCAGCCTGTCAAACTCGCCGATTGAGATCAACAGGGCCACACAATGAGCCAAACACTTGGTTCACAGTTGTGGCACGGTCCCGCAATGTGAACGCCTGCTAGGCACTGCTAGACCACCCTCTGGAAAAAAAAAACAAAAAAAACTTATAAACATCTCATTTGAAGTTAGCGACTTCTGCCCACTGTGCGCTTCAGCATGCGCTGACCCCGCTCTGTCATGTGACGAGGCTTACCACTTGGTGGCTGAGTTGCTGTTGTTCCCAGTTGCTTCCACTTTGTTATAATAACACTAACAGTTGAGCGTGGAATATTTAGTAGCCAGGAAATGTCACGGATCGACTTATTACACAGGTGGCAACCTATTACGGTACCACGCAAGAATTCCCTGATCTCCTGAGAGCGACCCATTCTTTCACCAATGTTTGTAGAAGCAGTCTGCATGCCTAGGTGCTTGATTTTATACACATGTGGCCATGGAGATGATTGGAACACCTGAATCCAATGATTTGGAGGGCTGGCCCAATACTTCTGGCAATATAGTGTATCTTGAATAGAACTATGTATGTAGGTAAGGTAAGGAGTACCCGTAGCAGGGCCAGGACAAGAGGTGGGCAGGAGGGGCGGCTGCCCTGGACAAGGTGGAGATTTTGTGCTGGAATGGGTGATTTGGAGGGGGGATATGGGCTAGGAGCAGGGGCGGACTGACCATTTGGAAACTCAGGCACTGCCCGAGGGCCCGATGTCAGTAGGGGGCCCCATGAGATACCCCTGGTACCTTTTTCATAGGCTTTTTTGAGTTTGGGCAAGGACACAGGGGCCCCATGATCCCCTATTGCCTGGGGGCCCCATGAGTTGTCAGTCCGCCCCTGACTAGGAGGATGAATTTCTGTTAGGAAGATGGAATTGGGGAGGATGATTTGTGCTAGTATGGATGACTGAAGGGATTTGTGCTAGGAGGGGAAATTTGGGGCAAAGATCAGTGCTAGGAGAGGGGATTTAGGGGAGGAATTGTGCTGGGAGAGGGGAGAGAGGATTTATGCTCAGAGGGTAAATATGAGGGGTAGAGGAACAGTTGGGGAGGGAGAGGGTTTAAGCTGCGGGGGGGGGGGATGGATTTTTACCGGAAGAAGGGGAATTATTGGAGGGAGAATTTTGGCTTACAAAGGTAATTTATGCTTAGGATATAAGTGTGAAGACTAGAGCTTTTTTTTTTGGGGGGGGGAGGCAGAGGATTTTTACTGACACGATGCTCCTACGTTTTTTTTTTTTTTTTTTTTTGGGGGGGGCACCATTTGGCATAACCGCCCTGGGCGCTAGATGACCTTGTCTCGGCACTGGCCTGTAGATTAAAACAAACTATGACCAAAGCTGAATAATGTTCTTGCTATGGGTGTAGGACATTTGCATACCCCTGATGCCTGGCCAAAAATCTCTGCTGATGGCACCATCCTGTCCTGTCTTGCTGCTAGGACATTGCTTAGACCCTCCAGCTGATTCAAACTCCCATACGCTCTCTCTCCCCTATTACAGTAACTAATAAGGAGATAGTGAAGCACACATGTGTGTTTGAAGGCTCACTCCTGTGATGGTGGGAGTGAGCAGCAATGGCTGGGAGTATCTTAGCAATATCCTAGCATAAAGGCAGGATGGGATGATGCCATTTTTGGGAGTTTTTCAGCCATGCTTCAGGAGGTATATAAATGGCCTACACCTATAGCAATACACCCATTGCATACCTAGCAGGGGGTTTTAACCCTCCCACGCTCTATTGAAAACAAAAAAAAGTTCCAGATTTCAGCTAGATCAGGGGTCTCCAAACACTCCTCCAAACAAAGGGACAGTTTATTATTCTTCAGACATTAGGGGAGCCAGACCATGGCGAATGGGAGTAAACAATGTCCCATCATTGGTATCAGGAGAATTACAAGTGCCCCATCCTTAGTGTCAGTGAGAGCAATAGTGCCCTATCGTTGGTGTCAGTGAGAGCAATAGTGCCCCATCCCTGGTGTCAGTGGCAGCAATAGTGCTCCATCCCTGGTATCAGTGGGAGGAATATTGCCCCATCATTGGTGTCATTGGGAGGAATAGTGCCCCATCCTTGGTGTCAGTGAGAGTAATAGTGTCCCATTGTTGGTGTCAGTGAGAGCAACAGTGCCCCATCCCTGGTGTCAGTGGGAGGAATATTGCCTCATCACTGGTGTCAGTGGGAGGAATAGTGCTCCATCATTGGTGTCAGTGGGAGGATTAGTGCCCCATTGCCATTGTCAGTGCAGGAATTATTACCCCATTGTTGGTGTCAGTGGGAGGAATAGTGCCCTAAGGGCCAGATAAAGGCAAACCAAGGGCTGCATTTGGAGACCACTGAGCTAGATACACTTTAGCTAATCCCTCAGCAACCTTAAAGAATGGTTGATCTTCACATCCCTTGGCATGAGAATCTTATTCTGGTAATGTTAGTAATGACAGACTTACAAGTGCGCATTCATCTGTCTGGTAGCTGCTTCTTGGATGACGATCGTTCTCATAGCCATCGTGATTATTATTATGGTGGTTGTTATGGTCGTCATCGTAGTCATTAAAGCTACCATTGTTAGTGTTAGCATTATTGTTGTTGCTAATGTCAACATCATTGGAGGTATTTGTTATATACACAGGATAACATCCGACTGTCGCCAGATCAATGATATTTAAAATCACAGCTATGATGGTGATAGTACAGCTGATGATGCTCAGGAAGAAAGAGCCTTTGATCTGTAAGGAGATAAGAGGCAGAGCATGTCATAAAAAAACAAAAAGCGTATAACACATTCCATCACTTCAAACATAAGGTCATCATTCGTAGCTATATAGATTTTAGAGAGATAGATATTAGATAAGTGCGGCACTTACTCAACCTTTTATCTTTAAAAAATGATTAATGTGTCATCAATGTTTTAAGAACTTTCAGCAGCTGATTTATTCTCTTATTTCAGCTTCTTTCCTTTTGCTGCCAGAGCCATTTTTGCAGTTATATGTTGTTATAATACATTACCCAATTTTTATTATAATATAAAAGCAGTTTTAATTTTGTTGACTAAAATATGACTAAAACTAAAACAATTCAGATGACTAAAATACAACTAAAACTACAAGGGGTCTTCAAAATGTTTCAGCAATTTTATCCATATACACATACAGTTGTGAGATGGGGAAACAGCTCTCATTGTGAATTAAATGTTTTACTGACATTCTGCGATTTAGCCACAAGATGTCACTGTTTTTCCTAACACAGCCCCAGACTGCATAGATATTTCTATATTCAGGAAGGGGTGGGGTTTTACACATGGGAGCTCAGTGAATAGGAAGAGAGACTGCAGCCATGTTTTGATGATGGTGAAGGAAAAGAGCCATGTGAGCAGTGAATCCGTTGGCATCCAGGTGTGAGAACTGCAGCTATTGAAGCTGATGGTGTTCAAGACGCTGATCCTGTTCAGAGAAAGGAAGACATTTGTTCTGTTCTGAGTCCCCAGTGGATGCAAGGCAGACCCGGGTCGGTAAGATCGTGCACGCACCTCATTTCAGTGTTGGCGCCTCCAGAGACTGAGACAGGCCTATAGTTAGTTAGTTAGGGTCCCTGTTTGTGTCAGGCCACAAGTGTAATTACTGATCATTGGAAGGACTCCACAACTTAAAGTGACATTTCACATTGGAGAGCTGATAAAATCCCACAAACTCAAGCCAGACTGGCGTTTTGCTCAGAAGGAATACTCAGGCACGTGCTACAGGACCAGTTATGGGAGAGGGAATACTGTAGATTTGTGTAAGATTGTAAGCTGTTGTGCTGCACCACAGGTTAGCCCATACCGTACACCCATACACTGATTCCTGCTCTTTTAGGGTAATAACAGGTAAGGTGTGGCAGCTTATTTGTGCCCACCAGTAGGTAAATTACTTCACTTTCTACCTTCATCCATCAGAAGGCGCCGTGCTGTGCAGCACAAGGGTCTCAGCCTTTGGGCTGGGTGTATGTAAATGTATTGTATGCTCCCAGCATTTGTGGTTGTGTTTATTTGCCACATCTAAGTAAAATTCTGTTGTTGCAAAAGCTGGTGTTGAGGTTACTTTCCTCGTTCGTGACTTCACTGTATCCTGGGGAGCCCACCCCGGTACACGGCTTACACAGTGCTCAGCATAAATGAGTACACCCCAATAGATGTGTCAGAAAACCTTTACTTTCCTTTCAGAATCATCATTTTCTATGGGACACTATACTACAAAATACTCCCACAAAAGCGGGCCATTGATTGCAAACAAGATTTGTTAATTTGCACACACAAAAATTGTTTTATTTTTTCCAACAAATTCATTCAAAACCATGTTGCAAAAATGAATACACCCCAATGAATGTCTTAGGAGCAAAGCTAAATTTTAGTCTAATTATTCATTAAACAGGTGTCCAGCAGACAGTTGATTATAAAAGGGCATTACCTAACAAAATAAACCCATGTTGTCAGCAATGGCACCACATGGAAGAGGAGTCACAAGGCCTCAGAAAGAAAATAATTTCTTTACACAATAAAGGTGAAGGCTGCAAGAAGATCAGCAAAGCTTTACTTATCAGTCAGAATACTGTAGCAAAAGTGATACAAAAATTGAACAAAGATGGAACTGCAACCGTCTCACAGAGACGTCCAGGCCATCTGTCAGGGGTCGGGTGTTCTGCCGCAATACGCCAGGCGACGCATGTGCAGAACACCGACATGCTCTAGCCAGTGGGCAGCGGGACCTGGGCGATCGCGGCAGCTGCGACGGCCGCGCATGCACACTCGCGGACACACGCCTGGCACCAATGACAGCGCAGGGCGCTCTATTTAAACAGGACAGGAGGTATGTGCAATTGCCATTTGGTCTTATTGTCCTGTTCCTGTGATCTGATTTGTGAAGTTTCCTGTTGCCGACCTCTGCTTGATCCTGACGCTGCTGATTGTCTCCTGCTTGACCCCTGGCTTGACCTGACCACTCTCCTGCCTGATCCTCTGGTACCTCGCTGCCCGTTAGTTGCTGAACCCGGCTCGTGACCCTGACCATTCTGTGCCTGCTCCTCTGGTACCTCGCTGCCCGCACATTGCTGACCCGGTCTGCCTGACTACGCCTGACTCTCCATCCATCCCGCACGAATCAGTCCCTGCTGCCAGGCCTACCAGCCTCTTCACATCAGGCTCTTTTCCCGCCTCTGACGGTACTCTCTCCACTGCTGGACGTACTCAGGGGTTGCGACCTGGTCTCAGTCTGCTCCAAGTCAGTCCCCACCATCAGGGGCCCTGGTGAATAAGCAGATTGGGAACCCCACACTGTGGGTTGCTAGAGATACCGCCAGGCGGTGTCTGACAGTATCCATGGAAGTTAACACCTCAATAGGAGTATCTTCTGATGAGAAGGGTTAAGGAAAATCGCTATGCAAGTTAACTGCAGTTAGCTAAAGAAGTAGAAAGACAAACTGGGGTGATTGTTTCCCGTGACACAATACGGCATACA